AGCGATTCTCCGAGGAAAATGGGGTTCTGCTGTACGACAACCTTGTCTACGTCCCCACCAACAAGCTCCGTGCTGAGATCTGCCGGGACATGCATGACACGCGTTTGGCAGGACACTACGGCATGTCAAAGACCCTGGAGCTCATCTCACGCAACTACTGGTGGCCTAGCCAGTGGCGTTTTGTCAAGTCCTACATCAGGTCCTGCGACGTATGTGCTCAAGCCAAGACCAGCAGACACAAGCCCTACGGTCTCCTCCAACCCCTGCAGGTCCCTGACCGCCCCTGGGGGTCAATTTCCATGGACTTCATCACGGATCTACCCGCCAGTGATGGGGTTGATTCTGTGCTCGTTGTCATCTGCCGGTTCACCAAGATGGCGCACTTTGTACCGTGCAGGAAAACTGCCACCGCTGAGTCAACTGCAGATCTGATCTGGCACCATGTCATCCGGCTCCATGGACTCCCCGACGATATTGTATCTGACCGTGGCCCACAGTTCAACTCCCACTTCTGGAAACGTCTCTTCGCTCTCCTGGGAACCAAGGTCAACCTCTCATCGGCGTTCCATCCCCAGAGCGATGGACAAACCGAGCGGACCAATCAGATTCTTGAGCAATACCTTCGCTGCTTTTGCAACTATCAACAAGATAACTGGAAGGAACTCTTGTCTTCTGCTGAGTTCTCTTACAATAACACCATCCACTCCGCCACCCAGACAACCCCCTTCTACGCCAACTATGGGTTCCATCCTCGATTCAGTCTGGCTTCCGCCACCACAACCGAATCCCTTAATCCTGCAGCCGAAGCTCGTGCCAACCATCTCAAGGAAATCCATGAACAGCTTGCCACTGAGCTCAAGGAGGCCCAAGGACGCATGAAGCGCTTTGCCGATGCTAAGAGGGCACCTGGCCCAGACATGAAACCCGGGGACAGTGTCTGGCTCTTACAGCGGAATCTCAAGACTCTCCGACCTTCCCAGAAACTTGATCACCGTAAGATTGGCCCCTTCACAATCACGGAGAAGATCAACTCGGTCACATATCGCCTCAAGCTTCCCCCATCCTACAAAATTCACAACGTCTTCCATGTCTCCCTTCTTGAACCACGTTTCACCATTCCGGAGCGAACTGAGCCAGAACCCACCCCACCAGAAGAAGTCGAAGGACAGGAGGAATGGATTGTGGAAGACATTCTTGACTCCCGTATTCGACGCACGCACCTTCAGTACCTCATCAAGTGGCAGGGTTGGCCAAGCTCGGAGAACACATGGGAGCCAGTGGAACACCTTGCCCGATGTCAAGAGCTTGTTGCCCAGTTCCACCAAAAGTACCCCGACAAACCCCGACCAAAGCCTGCCAACATCAAAACAACATCCGGACGCCGTGGCTCAAGGAGGGGGTGATGTTATGGACGACGCGTCCATACCATGCGCTTACCTCATGACAGCATCCCAACAGTCAGTCAATGTCGATTCCCTGTCAAAACCTGACATCTGCCAAACCTCGCAGCCGCACGCAGCCGCGCTACCCCACACCTGCCACTGCCTTCATTTCTCCACGCAGCCGCACGTAGCCACACCTCCCAACACGCGGCGCTTACAAACCCTTCTCCATACTTCCCCACGTACCCGCCCACAGCCTCAGCGTAGCCACCCCATCCCCAGTCTTCTGTTTCCATACTTCCCCACGTACCCGCCCACAGCCTTCCCAGAAAAACATAAATAGCCGCCTCCCCTGAGCTCCCCACTTCCTGATCCCCCAGCAGATCAACACCAGTTCTTCCTAGTCTTGTTCTAGTTCTTGTTTCGGTCTGAATACCATTACCTGTCAACAACCTGCACCACAAGTCGCCTCTATTTCCATCGGCTCCGCCCATTCATAACAATCATCCCACCTCCAGGCGTTTCCGAAGAACGTAGTCCCAAATGCTGTGCCTATGGGCATCCGCCTCCCGACGGGAAGCGGGGGTCGTAACGTCCGGCACCCTACCACCACCGGCGGCCGTAAACGCATCAGGGTCCCGCTCGCCCCACTCTTGCGGATACCCGTCGTCCATCAGCCAGTTGTGCAGCATGCAGCACGCCCGGATCCACGCATTCGCGTAACGGGCGGGGTCCGCGTCCTTCACGACGACGCGGAGTCCGCGGAGGCTCTGAAAATGACCCTTGAGGCGCCCAATCGTGTGCTCGTTCACGATGCGCAACTGCGCGATGTAAGTGTTGAACACCTTGTTAACGGGGACGTCCGCGTGCGGTTGCTTTATGCTGGCAAGGACGGTAAGGGTGTTGGTGTACCTGCTGTCCCCGATGAGATATTCGTTCTCTCCGAAGTACAGGTCTGGCTGCAGCGCCAAAGCCGAATGGCTGAACACACGGGCGTCGTGGGCGCTCCCGCACATTCCCGTGTGAACGTAGGTAATCCGTCCCGTGTCATTGTTGACCACCATCACGTTGAGACTGTACATCCTCTTCCGGTTGAAGAATCCTCCCCATCTACGCTGGGCTTCTGGAAAAACACGACGTGTGTCCCGTCCACGAAGCCAATGCAGTTCTTGAAGAACGACTTGCGGTAGATGCACTCCTTGATGAGCTCCTTCCCTTGGGCCGTGGGCCAGTCGAGCCAGCCGCCGCGGCTACCAACCTCCTCAATGGCCGCGAGGACCCGGCGGGTGTAGTTACCAACGCACCCCTCGGACACCCCCCACATGCGAGCGATGCGGCCCACGCGGGCCCCATTGCCATACTGCCCCAACCGAGATAGAGCAACAAACAGCTGGAAAGATACGGGCTCCTGCAGCTTGATGGCGGAATTTCGGCACTGGAAGACCGGGTGATCCTTGACAAGGTCGAGCAGTTGTCCATATGCTGTGCGGCTCATGCGCACCTCGTTCAGCCACCGGTCATCGTCCAGGGTGTGCAGGAGCCCCCGAAACGACCGTTTGGGGACGGGGTCCCGCCAAGCCAGGTACCTCTTGCTCATCAGCGCCACCAGGATGTCGAACTCGAGCTCGGCTTCTGATTCCGACGACGACCCGGCCCACGAGTCTTCGTCGCTAGTCCCGCCGTCGAAGTATCCCACCACCTCCCGGAGGACAATGCGCTCGGCGAGCTCCGCGATCGCCCGCTGACGGTCAGACGTCCCAGGCATGTTGGGCTGGTTGAGGTCAGTCTGTTGCTCGGCGTCCTCAGACTCCTGGGACCCATGGGGTGAGGGGCACGAGGGGTCAGGGTCCAGGGCTGCGCCGCACGGACCCTGCGCCGCAGGGAGAAAATCGGGGGGTGTGCAGATAATCGGATTATGTGGGGCAGAAAAACCACCCCAAACGCAGCTTTTTCTGCACACCCCAGATCAGCGAAACCGCCGATTTTTGTCGATTTTCTGGGGTGCGATGGGGGGTGCGCCGGGCCCCGGATGACCTGTCTTGGGGGGCCGATCGGGGAGCGCGTAGCAACCGCGTTCCTGTGCGCGCTGGAATAATCGGCAGATAATCGCGAGATAATCCGAGCAAAAGTCCGATTATGTGGGCTAGTGAAACGCCCTAATACCTGTCAATAATTGGATGGCACTTATCGCGCTCCCCACATATTCCATGCGGCAAATCCTCACTTCTGCGGGAACCTTGGACTTACACTGGTGCTAAACCCTTTTCAGACCTGTTAGCGGCTGCCTTCCATCTTTCGGCAGTCTCTTCCACATCCTTGCATGTGCTCTAGCTCCAACTGTCTCAAATATTTTCTGACCAGCCCTCGGCCCGACAGAGCGATGCGCTTCCGCCGACGAAGTGTGTTGAATGAATATCCATACGAACGCACACAACCTACCTGTTCCTCCGAGTGTCTCGCACCGATCTTAGCCACTCTCAGCTTTGCAGCTCTGCTTTTGTCGTTCCTCTCTTACCGGCATCGCACCGCATGGTATCGACAGGACATTGCCTTGCGCCCGCTCTTGGCAACAGCAAAAGATTTCCCAGCAAGCTGACCATCAAAGTAAATTTCGTCGCCTGGTGTGTGGAAGGAGTACCCGACTCCATTCGAGCTCCGGAGATCAACAGCGAAGTGGAGTGGAACAACTGTAAACCCAGTGATATGTGTCATGTGATCTGGGCATTGCACATGCCTTGCAGATGTGTTGCGATGGAGAGTGGGCAGCGGTTTTCTTCCTTTGTGATGTTTGGCGAGCGTGGTTATCTTGGGCTTTGCGAAGGGTTCTCTCCGTTATGGCTTTCATGTCTTGTAAAATACCGAACCTTGGTAAAAGATGCCGTTTGCGAATGACTGTGCCGTCACTGCCGTGGATGCTCCGACTCACGTGATGTTCGTGTTCGTGTGCAAAGTGGATGTTTCCCAAATCCAGACTCGCCGACGTAGGAGTTAAACCACACGGCCCAGAGTCAATTTCACTTCTGTCAGGCCGGCCCCGGCCCCATAGCCTCCTCGAACCAGTGGCGGACGATGTCAACATGCTCCGCATGCGGTACAACAGGTGCCGTGCAAAAGCTTCTACAACATGTCTTCGGCGGAAAGCGAACGGGCCGAGCCTCACTAGCGTGGCGGTTGGTGTGCTTGGAAGTTGCCCCACCTACGCGCTGCGAGCCAGTCCGACGGGCTTCGACGTGCGGTGGAGCCGCGGGAATGCGGCCATATCAAAGAACTCCTGGCAACTTTTGCCAGCTTCGGGAGGAATGGGGGCACGGCGTGCAGACACGCCGAACGTCTTCCTTAACTGGATGGGCTTGCACATCGCATACCAAGTGCTATACTACCGAAAGGTCTTCCACGAATCAGCTTAACGACCGGCCTGCAACAAGTCACGAAGATTTACCACCCATCCGCACGGGCTCGAGCCTTCAACATAGAGAAGAGACGGATGAAAGGAAAAGGACAACTCTGGCGAATTGGAAGAAGTTGCTTCATGGGATCCGACACCGGCAGTTTTCTCATACCGACTTTAAAATGGTGTGGACTCATTACATGGATCGCATAAGAACTGACCCAGCAGAAATGGCGAAGCTGGGACGCGATGACTGGTTCAGCCTAATGGTCATAACGGGACAAAACAAATCTCTGGCGGGACAAGAGTTTGCCGACAGGGCCGATTTGTTGATCAGCGATATGGAGGACGCTGGACAGCTTCCCGACGCACCCATGTTCGAAGAGTGGGCCAATCACGCGAATATTCAGACTTTAGCTGATGCAGAGTGGTTCTTGCGAATGGTGTGGTGGTGCGCATCGCCTGCCACCGTGTCTGATGAACTATTCGCCACGTTGATGAAGCGAATGTCGCAGAAACATGATCTGGAGGCTATTGTGAAACTGTATCGACAGGCTGTCAGTTCCAACCGCGCCGGAGAAAGAACTCATTTTCGAATGATGAAGTCTTATGCAAGGTTGGGGGCTGCGACCAAAGCGATTACCATGTTCGAAGAGCATTTTGCGGAACGATCTAGTGACGAAGAGTGCAGCCTCCTAATTAAAGGAACTAGCCACGAAACAGCTCTGAAGCTATTCAACTGGATTAAGAAGAAGAAAGTGGCAGGGCCAAAGACGTACGAGAGGATTATCCGCGTGTATTGCTTGTCGCACCTCTTACCCGAAGCGAGCGCATTATGTAAAGAGTGGACGCTAGAGAAGCAAGCGCCTCCGACCCCAGCCATGTTCAATGCGCTCATGTGGGCCTACATCAGGAGAGGGGACTCGGAAGCGAAAGACTTCGTCCAGGAAGTCGAGCAGTCTGGCGAATATCTTCCGATGAAAAGTTTGGAGGCGTTAATGCACTTGTTGGGACGAAAAGGCGACGTGGATGGCGCTCTCGAAATCCTATTTCGCGTGGAAGAGCTATCGCCTGGCGCTATGCGCACGGTGTGGACCTACAACATCGCGCTAGGCATCCTTGCTCGCGCTCGGACGACGGATCGGTTTCACGAGATCCTAGACCACATGAAGCAGCAAAATGTGGAACCAGACCCTGTGACATATGGGACGATAATGTCAGGCTTCAACAAATGTGGCCGCCATCAGAACGTCATCGACTTATTTCACTTCCTAATGTCGAAGGATATGGCGTTGAACCACGCCGCGATTTCAGCGGTATTGATGTCACTTGCGACCCTACGGCGCATAGAGGACATGCTCACCTGCTTCAACGGTTTGCGTGATAACCGCCGACATGAATTGACGGTGAAACATTACACGATCGTCATCGACGCATACCTCAAGCAAGGCGATCTCGCGACCGCCTACGAAATCTTCGATGTCATGGCGAAGGATCACAAATCGCCGGATGTGGTCACATATTCCTGTTTCCTTGACGCTTATGGCCGTCGCGACGATTTGAGGGGCATAACGAAAATATTGAATGCAATGGACAGCAATCAAGTCGTCGCCGATGCCGTGGTGTACAACATTCTCATTATGGCGCACTCACGTCGTAGTAGAGCGAAGCAGGCTCTGCAAGCGTTTGCAGATATGATAACCAAGGACTTGAAGCCGTCCATTTACACCTACAGCGCCGTGGTCTATGCGTTGGCCAAGGACGGCGACTTCACGGCGTGCGATGAGTTATTGGTGGAAATGGAAAGCGTTGGGGTATGGCCAAATTCGTACACATACGCTATCCTCATCAAGGAGATGATGATCAGGGGAGATAGGCAAGGCGCATTGCGGTACTTCAACCGTTATGCCCCCACGGGCATGGACCCAGCGGTGGATCATCGCCCCAAGCCGCGCTTCGATGCCAAGTTGTCCAACACTATCCTACGAGGGTTGATGCAGTTGAACGACATTGAGAACGCGCTGAGCGTCTTCAAGCAACTAATGCACCTCGGTCACATGCCGACGATAACCGAGTGGATGACGATCATCGAGGGCGTCGGAAAAGCCGGGCTCGTTGCGGAATGTGAAGGATTGTATAGACGTTTCCTGCAATTAGGAAAACAAGAGGAAGGCGGCGGTACCAAGGCTGAGAAAGGGCACGTTGCGCCAACACTGTGGGCGTGTCGAAAAGCAAGGCAGCATGTTGTTGCGGCTTTGGTGGCGAAAGAAGGGGAAGCGGGCGTAAAGGAATTTGTGCGGAGGGAGAGGGAGGGATGGAAAGATTTGGGACCTGTAGATATTTTTGGCATTGATTTGACGCCTGAGACGATGTAAAGGCCTTCGAATCATGATCTGAAGCTAGAATCTCAAATACATAAGAAGGGTAGACTGGGGTTTCCCGTTATGGGATGGTCAGTTGTTTTTGCCCAGTGGGACAAGCAGATTTACATATGTATATTTCGGTCCCAAGAAAGCTATCTACAAATATTACATAGGCGATGGACGACAAAACCACCGAGCTAATCTAATCAAAATACGACGTTCGAGTGGCGGTTCTCGACCTGACGGTTGTCGGAGTTCCGATGCTAGACGAGAATCCGGAATCTGGATCGGTCGGGCTGAGGTAGGCGTACTCTTCTTTGCCGGTAGGGATTATTGAGTTGAGTTTCCTTCGCGACGAGAGTGGGTGGTCAGCCTTGAAGAGGAGACGAGCCTGTACGAGACTTTGTGCATACTCACTGAGAAACCCAGTCATTCAGCTTCCCCAACGACCCGCCGCCACTGCCCGTCGTCGGCGAAGGCACGTGAGCTTGATGATATCTTCTCTCGCCAACCAGCACTTTCTCCAGGCTTCCCATCTGGCCCCGCCGAACTTCCTTTGCCTTTCCGCCACTGTTTCTCACACCTCGTCTCAAATCCGCAGCTGATGCGTCCAACACCGAGTCCCAGTCCCCCAAAGTATGTACCCTCCCTACTCTATCTACGTGTTTCTCCCCAACCCGCCAAGGGTGCTCGTGGCCCAGGTCATTCAGCGCTGATACCAGGTCCGCATCAATCTGTTTCAGCAGGTCCTCGGTGCTCTCGGCCGGTTGGTTTTCCGCCACCGTCCGCAGTTTTTGATGCGCAGTTTTCGCGCTTCTACTGGGGGACAATTGGATAGGTTTTAATGGCGATGACGAACCAGTGAGCGACGGGATAACGACGTGTTCCCGAAAGCGGATCTCATCTTCGTGCCAGAGTCGATTTGCTTTCTTGAGAGCGGTTACTGTAATGTCATATTGTATTGCAATGCCAGCCAGGGTATCGGTTTTAAGAATGGTGTGCACGTTTGAGGCAACGTGATTTGTCGTTCCCCCGACAGTTGTTGGACCGCCAGAGTCTTTGCCAAACGACAGCTTCCGCAAAGGTACGTGGTCGGGCCGAACGTTAGGTGGTATGGGCCCGGCATTTGGCGCTTCTTCGGTGACGATGAGCGGCGGTGCTGGACCTATTGCAGCGATCATTCGCTGCCTATCACACACATCAAGAGATCGCTTTCGCAGCGGCGATTCCGAGAAGCTTCTGCTATAACTATTATGAGGCGTCTGCGGTGTGGCGTCCTCAGCACCAAATAACTCAGCTGCAGCCGCGACCTGGCCCACGCCGCTGAACTCCGACTGCAGGGCACCCTGAACAGCCTTCGTTTGTTCTAACCTCCGCTTTGGTGAATATTCCGCGCAAAGTTCGTCATTATCAGCGTCGGTAGACGAAGCTGACTGTTCTTCTTCGTAGAAGGTCTTCCAAGGGTCTGACTCTGCCTCCGCCCACATTCCCTCCACGGTTTCGACAGCCGGCGCTGCCGGGACGCTATCGCCGAAGGTTGCGCCTATCCCAGCCCACGGGTCGTGCATTTTGTATGGGTCCGGTGGAGACGACTCTTGCCGTGATAGCAGGGCCGAAGACACCGGTGTATCAGCCATTGCGGTGGGTATATGGGACCTGGCAGTTCTGTGCTGTGCGTTCGAAATTCCAGGTTGCCTTCGCCGATAACGGCAAGAGGTGCAAGTCTCTGCGTCACTCCCTCCCCCGACGCGTTGTGCCGTGATATCACGTGAGGAACTGATGACTTTATTTCGTTGTAGTTTGCTTGCGCTGGTTTATTCTTTGGGGAATTGGTCGGGAACTTGGGAACGATCTTTCACCTCAGTAAAGCATGCTCCCACCAACAGCTTTCAAGGTTGCCCGAACCGCAACATGTCTGCATACGAGGCAGGCGGCGCAAGCCTGCCGTCGCATGCCAACAACCGCCAACCCCGCCCGCCTCATATCAAACGTATCCGATAAGTTTTCGCTCCCACAAACGGGACGGAACGAGCGGACGCCAGTGAAGAATATAGGTATGCAGGTCGCTTCTTGCAACTGCTGAAGTCGAATTCATTCTGACCGTCGCCTTTCGGACCGGCGTTTGTAGCATTCATAGAGGACGTACGCTCTGGCCAAAATCTGGTCACCCTGAATGGTGAGCACAGAGGTGGAGGAATGCCTATGGATGAAACTTGACACCAACGTGGACGACCGATTTTCCGACTCCCGCAGAGAACCAGCGACAAACAGAAGAACAGAACCCCCTGTACTACGGTGGCTCTTATCCAAGACGAAAGTTTATCCCTGGAACCGTAACTACTTTACATATTTCCGCCGTTGACCCAACAGACACAGCCTAACCTACTTTTCCTCGGTAATAGACATATTCACCACGAGATCTGAATGACAAGAATATTAAGGCGTTCGAGAAAAAGTGGAAACGTAGTCAAACCTTGAGGGACACGTGTGAGGAAACTAGGAGGGACCCTTTGAAATCGTACAAGGTAATGATTCATTACCGACGAAAAGTAGACGCACGTTCTGTAATGGGAAGGATGGAAGGAGGAATAGCGACAGCACGGATGCTCATCCCCTCTCCGATTACAGGATGTTCTGTTTCTGTCGGACTTCTGCACCACTATGGGCCATCTGAAGCCGAAGACGGAAACTGGGTTGAGGCGCCTGAATCAGAACAAAGTGAGGAAGGCGGTCAGGAGGGCAAAGGCCATGGGTAAGTCATCAACCGCTGGAACGGTCTCAAATTGCGGGGGCAGGATAGTTTCTCATCGCCCCTTTTCTCTCTCCAGGATTGATGCCATTCACTTGGAATGTCAAAAGCGGCGGCGGCATATATCACATGTCTGCCATATCTGCATTTCAAAAATAGAATCTTCTGACTCGCCGAAGGATGATTGCTGACGGGAGGGAGTAATTGTTCAACTGATGCAGCCGCATGTGGCAAGTTGGGTCCCCCTGGAATCCCATAGGATATCATATTCGCGGTCCCTACCGCTCTCCCTTCGACAACCTCCCTGTCGCCTTCAGCTGTCCCACCATCATGGCTGGATTCATCCCCATCAGCGGGTTGACACCGCCCATCATCGCAATCTTCTTCTTGAACTCTTCCTGTGGATTGCTGTTAATGCTGTCCGCGCTGCCATGGGTGGATGCGGCGCCATCTTGCGAAAGCGGGGTGGGATCGGATGGTTGTGGGACCGCGGTGGCCCTGGTGGAGTCACCCGGTTGCGATGTGGTATCTTTGGGCGTAGCGGATGTTTTGCGGGCTCGTGGAGAAGGGCGAGCTCTTGTGGCCTACAGTGTCGGATGAGCAAGCGTTTGCGAATGTCGTGCATGGGGCCGAGAAGAATAACTCACATGTGCCAATGAGCGACCGGATCGCTCGAGGACAGGCACGCTCTTGTCTACTTTTGGTGCTGGTTGTGCCTCACTGGATGCGCCTTCAGACGCACTGTTTGCCGCTTTCCTGTCATCGGAACCGACATTAGCATGGGTTATTCGCTCAACACATCTGCGTCGGCCAGACTTACAGATCATCGGATATTCGTCCTGCAGCCGCACCAGCCTCGTTCATCTCTTTGACTGCGGATCGAGCGAACGCTTTGGCAGCGTTCACCTCATTCTCCGTCTCTGCTCTATCCGCAATCAGCTCCAACTCTGCTATCCGCTCTTTCAATGTCGCGATCTCGGCGTCTGATGAGGCACCAGTCAGTGATTTGCCCTCAACCTCAGGATCAATAGATACGGGTGCTGATGTCCCCACCACCTACCTCGCTCTGAAACCGTGTTAGCAAGCTCCACTACCCTCTCCTGCAACGAAGCCAGCACGTCCGACGGCGAGTACGTGCAAGCTGACCCATGGACAAGACATATCACTGAGTCCCGCGCTTTCGTTTTCCATGCACAGGTTGAGGCGCATGTTGCGCTACACGTTGTGGTGAGGGCTGGTGCGTTCTGCTGAGGTGAAGACTGGGGCTTTGAGTCGGTTGAGGATAGCCGTTGTGGTTTGGGTGGAGCGCCTGACTGAGAGGTTGCTGGTTGCGTTGTTCCTGTCGTTTGTAGCGGCGAGTACTATATAAAGACGATTAATATCGTTCAACAACTATGATTGGAGATAAAAGGTGCAATGGCAAGAGGGCAGTACATACCGTCCAGACTGGAGGCTTCGCCGGCGGAAGTGCAACCTCCTCCACCTGCGCGTCTGACACCGCCTTATCGTCTGCTTGCGCCGATGCAGTTTGCGGCGAGCTGGCCTGCTGCTGCTGTGAGGAGATGACTTGTGAAGCAGGACGGGTCGGCGAGGACTGGGTCGCGGTGGGAGGTATAGGTCTCATTTTCGTGCTGGGATTTCGGTGGTTGAGGGCGAAAGGGGCGAGGCGACGAGTAGGCGAGCAAAGTGCAGGAACGTTACGTCGGTTCCAGTATCGCGGAGTCTTTCCGTGTGGCTGCTGCCGATGAAGCTAGGCAACGATGCATGGGAAGATGGAGAGGCCTTCGTGTGTCGTGGCTTGCCTTCCCACAGATTGTCACGCCTCACGCGTCTCCGTTTGAGCTCCGCCCGCCATGTCGGGCATTTTGATTTTCTCGCTTTCCTCTCCGGATTGATGGACACAGCATCATTAGTTGCCATTATACAGTAATTGTACCCAATTCTTACACTCTGGTCAGACCCATACCGGCAGGCATAGAAACATAGAATCCATCTAGACAATCCACAGCGATGAGCGTCTTGTCAACAGCAGCGCTCCCAGCCCTCCCAACGTACGAGAACCGCAACGCTCCAGACCTTCCACCAGAAAAGACCCACGCTCGCCACAGCCGCCATACACCCGCAAATTACGATGAAAACGCATATGAAGAAGAAGAGAAGAGGGCGTAGACCTCGTCGCCCACTTTGCAGTGGAGTTAGACTCGGAGAAGGGCATTCCACCAGGCAAAGCCCAGTCGTACATTGCGATATTGGAGGACGCGTTGGAGCAATTGGCGGTGTTGGCTGATATCGCCGGGGCTGGGAATGCGGGACCGGCGGATTCGGGGCATGCGTATGGGGAAAGCAAAACGGTACGCTTGCCGAATATACGCGCTGCAACAGATTGTTGGCATCGTCGTTGGGATACTGAGTTTGTCGGAACGTTAGGCAGATGCAAAGGCGCTGAAAGAACAGTCAAGGCTGAACGACCGGTATGAACAGCTTCGTTTGGAGCAAAAGAACTTGCGAAAGCTGCCTTCAAAAGGAAAGAGTGGGGCACCAGCAGGGCAGGATGGAGGGTTTGACCATCGGATTTCGCAAGGTACGGAGGAGGGAATGTACGCCGCGCCCAGATGTCCTCGAAAGCTCATTCTTCGCCACCGCAGTGTCAAGCACTACAAATCGATCACAAATCAACTCTGTGAAAAACCTGCAGAAGATACATCAGGAGCGGAATGCGCTGCAAGCCTTGATTACGAAGACCATGCGGGAGTTGCGGGAGTTTCGGTTCGACAGTCTGATTACCACTGTAGAGGAGGAGCATAAGAAGCGGAATACGTTGCATGAGACAATAGAGAGGTGCGTAATGTGCAAAGTCACTGCAATCCCATAAACCTTTCTGATTCCCTATTTTGCAGAGAGAGGGAAGCATCCCAAACGCTCAAATCCCTGCAAAAAGAGCTCAATAACGAACGCAAACTCCTCGAGGACGAGACCAACGACCGCGACCAAGTCATCCAGCAACTCAAAGACACGATTCAGGAAATCAATATCCTGACGAACTCCGAACAGCGCTACATCAAAAAGGAAACCAAAGCGCATGAGACCAGCGTGCGCCAACGGTGCCTACACGACGAAAAGCAGCTCACCGAGGAAAAAGCGATCCTCACTAAGCGGCTGGAGCAGGAACAAAAAGCGCACGACAAGATCGTCGATTTCCTCACGCGGCAGAGGGAGACGCTTGAGCGGCAGATCCAGGACTGGATGTCCAAGTATGAGGAGGACACAGAGTCTAAGGTGGCGGAGTTGGAGGCGTTCAAGTTGAAGCGGAGTCAGGATCTGGATAGGTTTGAGGAACTGTTGGCGGCTTATGAGGAGTTGGAAAAGGTGGTTGAGGAGGATAGGCAGAATAAGCAGATTGAGGCGGAGCGGATACGGGGGGAGAAGCTTGCGGCGCAGGCGGCCACCAAGATTCAGCGATGGTATAAGAGGAAGTTGGAGGCTAAGAAGGTTCGTTGGGATCAGTTGATTTGGTAGAAACGCCATCCATGAAGGTGTAGGACAAGTGAGCTAAAACGGAACGATTCCCATTGACAGGCCGAACTAGCGAAGGCAGCCAAATCCGCAAAAGGCGGAAAGAAAGGAGGGAAGAAAGGGGCTAAACCGGCGGCAGGATCCGGGAAAGCCACACCAAAGTCTGCGAAGGCCGCCAAGAAGTAGATATAGAAGCTATCTCTGCTAGCAATACGCTTGGTTGTACAACCGATGTCGAAACAATTGAATTGTAGCCATGTGTGGGGTTTGCGGCATCGAGCGATGAAGATGCTCGTCAGGAATTCAGCCTACGATGATCGGGTCGACGTGACAGATGCAAATGCAAAGCAAGGTTTCGAGCGAGGCTGGCACGAGAGCGTCCCACATCCATTCACGACCAGTCGTCCAGTATCACCGTTCAAGTAGATTGAAGAGCCCATGTACACAATGAATGCAGTATATGAAGGTTGGCAACTTTCTGCGGAGACGTACGCCTTTTGCCCCGACAACGTTCATGAAGCGAGCGGGTAGCTAAATGAATGACCCGCTCTACGCTTTTCCGTGATCGTCCATGCACACCTAATCTACCGCCTAACTATACTGGGCCCGGAGCCGGCGTTCATCAAGCCAAGCGAGAACATTCTCAGCCCCATAGACGACGTAGACGCGTCCGATGCAGACGTCCAGAATTTGTTGCCAGCAAAGGGTGAGGGAACCGCGTTGGAGCTTGCGATAGCGGCAGCCGCAACCCACTCCATGACGCCTCCTCCACTCTCAAACTCGGCCGGGCTGTACGCCAACACAGCCGGGCTCGTGGCCCTGATGGTAGCCATTGTCGTGGGCGGCTTCTCCCGCTCATCTTCCTTGCCCTCCCTTCGCCTCTTGAGGAAGTCGGCCAGCCCGAAAATGTCCCATCCTCTCGACTTCTCGTCTCCTTTGCTGACTCTGTCGGCTGATCGGGTCGCGCCCAATGCCACGACAGGGTCAATACCAAACCATCGGCCAATGACGACCTTGGCAGTCCCTTCGCCAAAGCCATAAAACATGCCTTGGAAGAAAGGGGTGATGACTAGGGTGATGAGACCGTTGAAGGTAAAGTATTCAGAAAGGGTTTGCGGAGTTCCGGAGGAAGCGCTGCTGGTCGGTGCGCGGTTGGAGCCTTGCTGAGCTCGGCGACGTGGAATGAGATCTCGGGCTGAGTTCGGAAGGTGACCCGAGTCGGTCGAATACGAGTCATCTGAACCGTCGATGTCGTCATCCTCCGACTCGATGTAACCACCTTTTCCACCAGCAGCTGTCCTTGGCCTACTTGCATTCGTCCCGCGGTGGGCAGATCGGTTCGCCGGCACTTCGTCATCTACGACAGCCGTGGTGGACGTGGTCGTGATGACTTCAACCTCGGCGCTCCCGTCTTCACCGACAACGAGCTCGATCGTCTCCGTCTCAACCGCAACTACGGCAGCGTGCGAGGGAGGGTTATTGGTCGGGGTATTGGTGGGTGTCCCAGCGGCTGTGGTCGGAGATGGGATGCTGGGACTGATGGGCGTGTTTGGCGGCGCGCGGTGGATTGGAGACGGCCCGTCCTCGGAGGGAACACCCAGTGTTGTACCCGATCCCGAGGTCGGAATTGGAGGGACGGTCATCGCAAAATAAGTTGGGTGGATCTACGTGGAGTTTAGTTCCGTCCGATGCGGTTCGCCGCGTCAAGTTGGAGAGTCCTGATGCGACGCTTCGCCGCTGGGTGTTGGGAAAGGCTAAGAGGTTTCCGTCACCAGGCCGAGTGTCTTCAGTGATGCCGTTGCGTGCCCGCTATCTCAATATGATGCGCTGTTGAAGCATGTGCAGAATGAGGTCGCTTCCGTGCGTTCACCATCACCGGCCTCCCGTCACCCGTGCCCACAGAACGAGACAGACGCGCCTTCTCTCAGCGCTCACATTCGGCAGACGCGGTCCGCGATTCTGACAGTGCCCAGCTGTCTTCCCCACAACAAATATACATCCCCCTGATATCCACAAACCCAACAATGGTATTTGGTGTGGTTGGAGAAGCTTGGCTTGTGGACGCATGGGTCAAGAGTTCAACTTCCAGTGCTATTAAATTTTCTTCGAGTGTTGAGACAGCCTGGAGTAGGGGCAGCCTCCACGAGATCTGCGCGACAAAACTATACTCATCATTGAGACTGACTCGGGGGTTTTGCTCCATTTTGCAATTTACTTTGGGGAATTATCTTTCGACGGTACCAAGAAAAAAGGAAAGAGGGTACACATGCGAGTGGAAGTATGGAACCCAAAAACAGGAAAACACCTAATCCTCATCCTCATTGTCTGAAAAGCAGTCATCATCGTCACTCTCCCCTTCGCTTACAACTTCTGCGCCCTCAGACTGACTCCATTTCTGCACAAGATCATTGCGGTATTCTGTAACACCACCAATGACGGCCTTGATGATGCCAAAGCAATTGCCGCATTTGCGCTTCTGAAACATAGATGGTGCCCCAATCCGCACAAGGCAGCAACCGCACGGCGCTGGAAAGCATTCCCTGACAGGGTCGGTGTGGGACCCAGGTGGGCAAGGATAGGCAAGACCTGTGATGTCAATGTGTTTGTCAAGCTTCACTTTGAGCTGACCGTGTACATTGCGGGCCCGCTGGGCTAAGGGGATGACCGACTCAGTGAGGACAAGTCCATCTGGTTCAGCAGTAAATCGAAAGAACTTCGTTGTGCGTGACCGCTTTCCACCTGTTTTCCCGGTGCTGTGATAGGTTGGGGCGCCACCATTGGCCATGGTGTAGATCTGCACCTCCTGCAAAATGGTAATAAGCTTGTCAGCCGCTGCCTGTATGTTCGGCTCTTGGTTGTTGCGGAACATAAACAATGTGGTACCGGCATTTGACGTGCGAGCCTTCCCCTTTCATAGATTCAGCACCCCTGCTTCTTTTGCTTCCACTGTTGCAGGGCACCTTTGAGCAAAACACATTGCTCTGCCTGGGCATGCTCCATCGTCGGGTGGATGAGCGGACGAATGATAGAGTGCCAGAGTTCGATACCCTCTTCACTGAGATATCGGAAGTTTGCTTGCATATATTGATACATCGGCACATTGTTTTCACGGTAGAAGCCCATGCGGCCAAGAAGACAAAGGATGACTGTCATGTAATTTTTTTT